TAAATAGATTCCAGAAGCATTGCTACAAATAGAGGTTATGTTTGTGGCTGATGCTTTCCTTTGCAATATGCCATTTCCTATTCATTGTTGTTAATTAAAAAAATTTGGAAAATAAATGAAGTAGGGAAAAGAGATTGGCAGTTGCCAAGGAACATGTCACCAGGCTAAATGTCACACTGTTCCATATGGTGGCCCAAGGCATAGAGCTAGAACTTCTGTGCTCCTGCCCTCCTTCACTCTATTGGTACAGAACACAGAGTATTTTGCATCTGCTCCAAATTGATGTCACCATTATTGCAGGATCTGTTGAATTTATGGGAGCATTAGCTAGTCAGAGATTATGGGACCAACTTCAGATATTGCAGCATGAGGAAACAGACAAGATGCTTGGGTGTTAGGCCATCTATCTGTCCTCTAGACCCTTGGCTATTGTGGCTGTTAAGAGCTAGTAGAGAAAGTTTAACCAGGTGAGTACAGGAAGTCATCAATACCTCTTTACATGAGAGAAGGAATTTGTGCTGCAATTTGTGTGAAGAAGTCATTCTGGACCATGAAATTTTTTGTGTGTGTTTTTTGTTTTTTTGTACAACTGCTGCCTAGTTACAAATATAATTTCTTGGGCAAAGTATTAGAGAAGGTGATGGCCTTCCCATGACAAGTGTCCTTAGCAGAAGCTAAAAGCATTTCATTCTGGCTATAAGTCTGGCTATTGCACAGAATCAGCATTAGTTCCCTTGGCTGATAAACTTTGGGGTTAGTAGGGAAGAGTGAGAGGAATATGTTATGAGTGCTACCATGTTGATTCTTCCAGACCTTTTGGGAGCTATTGATAAAATTGTTCCAGGGATACTGCTGAAGCACCTCATTGGGTTTGGAATGAGAGGTACAGAATTAATGATAATCCATTCCTGGCACAAGAGAATGTTAGCTGCATATTTCTGTTTGCATGGTTCTTATGTTGTGGAGCTGCTCCATGAGATTCTATTGTTTCACCCCTGCTATTTAGTATTTAAATGAATGTACTGCTGATGGTGCTCTAGAGATTTGGAATACAGGACCTCCACCTCTCCTTTCTACCTGAAACAGGAGGGGTATGCTTGGAGGCAGTGATAGCGTAGGTAAGGACCAAGAAAATGAACCTGAATTCAGGTAAGATAAGTAATGAGAATAGGAGATTCTCAGGCTCTGAAATGAAGAAGATTGGCTGTTCTGGATGAGATAGTGCTTCCTCTGAAGGAACAGGTACATAGCCAGGGTTTTTCTTAATTTCTATCTGTCACTAAAGCACACTTAGTAACAAGGAGGGCCTATGCCCAGCTGTGACTGCTGCATTAGTTACAACCATACCTGGCTCAGGATAGATTAGTTACCATATTCATACCTTAATTATTGCAATGCAATACAATAAAATGTATCTACAAAATCATCCACAAAATCAAAATCTTCAATAACAGTATGCCATCCCCTTGTGCTTGAGGGAATAATCAGCTTTAATTGTTTTCCTGAAACCCAAAAGGGAAGGAGAAGACCAGATCTCTGTGGGGAAGGAACTTATCTTTTGTGGTTTCTAAACCATGGTTTATAGCTGTGTGGTATACAAACCCAGCCAATTGTAGTTCATTCAGTAAAACATGGTTTAGCAAGATGCATGAACTCAGCCAATAATGTAGCCTGGTCTGTCTGGGCTGTAGCGAAACATTATTTCTGAGATTTATAGATATAAGAACGTAAATCTACTTTGCAGACTATTTTTGTTTTATAGCTGAAATAATTTTTAATTAACTGAACAAAGCTATTTAAGAAAATAAGCCCACTTCAAATTTAGACTAACTTCAGTATCAATTAAATAGATGGATTGTAGCCATCTGTTTAGTAAAAAATGCTAATAAAAAAGAAAGATGCAGGATTTAAGAATTATATTTGATTAACATTCGAAAAATGACAATGAAGAAATCTGCCTCTTTTTCTAACAGAGTTGTCTTAGCAGCTGCACCAGACAGAAATGCAGCTTGATGCACCTGTTCAGTTTCAGTCACACAGCTATTAAAGGCACAGTGTGTCTTTCAAAAGAAAAATGTAACTATCTCTGGATAAGCCAAATTGCCCAGCTTCCTATGTCTGGAGTGCCTTTTCATGGCTTCGAAAAGCACCCTTACCCTACTCTCTTGAACATTACCTTTCATTGTTCTTCCTGACTCTTAACTGCGAGAATTAACCAGTCTAGATTTTGACTGCTTCATGCCAGGTTAGGCCATCTAACTCATATTGTGTAAGCTGGCTGACAGTCTTTCTCCAGTATTTTAGATAGTAATGCCCAAACCTAGAGCCAGTTTAATGTGTAATGGTTAAGGCATCAGGCTAGAAATTGGGAGTCTTTGAGTTCTAACCCTGCCCCGGGCATGAAGCCAGCTGGGTGACCTTGAGCTAGTCACATTCAGCCCAAAGAAGGAGGCAATGGCAAACCACTTCCGAAATCTTGCCAAGAAAACTGCTGAGTTGTCCAGGCAGTCACCAGGAGTCAAAAATTGATTCGAAGGCATTCCCCTCCGCCCCAAACGGCCAACCTTCGGAAGAGATGACAAGGGTTGAACATGGGGCTTTTTGCATGCAATACACATGCTCTAAATTCTCTGAATGTGTAAGTATTTCTTCTCTTTGAAGAATTGCACAGAAAATCATAATGCAGCTGTATCTAACAAATTGTTTCCTCTGTGCAAGGCTTAAAGCAGGCATGGGGAACCTTTGATCCAAGAAACTAATCTAGCCTCACAAGACTTGTACAGCTAAACCTCCAAGATTCTTCCTGATAAGAATTTTCAGAAGTTGACTAAACTCCTTCCTATTGGAGCATTTTTATTTGCGTCCTTCTACTGGAGGAGGAAAGCAGACCACACATATTTGTCCTATCTCTGCTGCATTATTGCTGTCTTCCACGTTTCAGAAGAAGTCACCAGGACCATTTTTTCCAACCTGTCTCAATCCTTCCAATATGGACATCTCAGGGGAATCTTTTAGTGGTTGCCAACTTTCATGAGAAAAAAGATGGAGATTCACAGGTGCTGCTTTTCTGCTTTATTAAATACTCTTCCTCTAAGATACAATCAGCCTCCACTTTATCAGCATTTTGCAAACTTCTTAAAAAAGAGCTATTTAAGAAGTATTTGAATTGGGA